CATATGGAACATCACTCATTTATAAATAATTACAAATAACTACAATATATACGTCTACATGCATAGGTGCATAGGTACCTATTACCTCTCATCGCCGTCGCTCATTGCGCACTCGTTGCGTACACTCATTAGCATACGCACATTTTCCTACTACTATTAGCGCATTTGCCGCGCCTTTTATATTCGACGTTGCACTTTGCATTATTCTAAATACTATGTGAAATGCTGTTACCCTATGCAGTGTCGCGTTCCGAAGCACATATTATACGGGTGAAAATACCCCGGAACGATTAATGTCCCAAAATTTGGTGTTGTGTCCACGTGTGAGCCCGTTCATTCTGCTACACTGTTTGCATCTGGGGTGAAATAAGCAAATAACTTGCATATAACTGTGGTACGAGTAGAGCCAATTAAAGTATATAGTTATAAACGGCTGCCATATAGGACAAATTTATAGGTGCTATAATGAAAACCAATGATACCTCACATATCACACGGCTATTTGTTATATTACGCCTTCTTCTATTCGCCCAATATCATAAGGCCCAATGTTGTCAACGTTATCGCCGGATACATTTTTCCTTGGATCTATTGCACATCGTAACTAGATACAGTTGCTTCAGAATACATACACACGCTCTATAATGGTTACATATAGACGTTTATTCAGTAAGAGAGAGTCAGGACGAATTGGGAGACGCAGCGGTCTTGCTGTCCTGGTAGATCACTTTTTCCTTATAGGCCAATATAGATGCATACATATGACGAACAGGCGGGTGCATTCATCTTTCTCTACATTGGCCTCTCCCCGGAAAAGGTTCCATCTTCATGTGATTTGTGTATTCGATAGCGCGCTGTGCCTCTATAGTAAGAGGAAACCACGGCGTAGGGTCACGTTCAGGATCTTCGCGATCTTGCTCCTCGGGATATCGTCGAGACACTATCTATACAACATCGCATCTGGAAGCACCAAATGCGCCAAGTTGTACAGAAAACTAGCGTACCCGTGTATAACCGTCCTGTGGAATGCTAGCTGGTTCACGATGGACTGCAACACCACGGGAGAAGGTGCCGAGTTTCCGTAAAAAGTCTTTCCAATTATAGTAAAGTCTTACGGGCGCAAACGCCCAGTGCGCCACCGCCTGACTGTTTACGTAACAAGAGGCGAGCACGTTGTCGACGACTATAGTTCCCTCTAGCGTCAATGGTAAGAACACGCCGCTGTGCACGTGATGCCTAACTTGTAACACTCTTTCTACTGTTAGAGAGGAGATACGAGTGTGTATGTCTCACATAAATATAATCGCAAGGCTTAACGTCTTTTACTAATATCACGGGACCAGACTTGAATTCCACGTTTGATTTCGAAGCCGTGTAAATCAGATAACTTGGCGTCAGCGTAATACTTTGATTTCAATCCGTCTCGATAGTGAAAAATAATCTCCGTTTTTCTTTGTTTCTATCGAGAAATAGTATCACTTTGCTGTAAGCAAGGGCACCGTTTGAGTCAGCTGTCAAAACCCTATCGTGTACATTCCGATCTCTAATCTTCTTTGTTTCACCGTTGTCCATATAAACTACACTATCATCATGGAAACAGCCACCAGATCTTGCAGCTTCAGACGATTCTGAAATGGAAAAACACGACATCATTTATTGCTTGTCATGTTCTTTTGTTTTTATTTTGTACTTCGCATGCATAAAATTTATCACGCGAGTGGTGGATACGAATGATCTTTCTTATTTAACACGGTAAACGCATTTGTTATTTATATATTATTACATGTATAGTTAAGTTAAAATATACGTGTTAAAATCGATATTATTAAAAACACACAAGACACGCACACACACGCGCTCACGTGCGGTCAGAAGTATACGAGCACGTGCACGTACACGCAGACGCACACGTACACGCACACGCACACGCACACGCACACGTACACGCACACGCACACGTACGCGTACACGCACATGCACGCACGCACACGCACACGCACACGTACACGCACACGTACATGCACACGTACACGTACTTGCACTCGCAAACGCAGACGCACACGTACACGCAGACGCACACGTACACGCACACGCAGACGCACGCGCGCGTGTCTTGAAAAGCACATACAATGAGGGTAAATAAGTATACACGAACCCATAGAAACGATTGCTAAAATCCACATGTCATATCCATCGAAGTAGCTTTGATGAGTTCTTAGTTTCTAAACAGCGGCATGTCAACGATTTATGTACATGGTTAGCAGTCAGTACTTCCGCTCGCCCTCTTGCGCGTTTCACTCTCGTTTCTGTGCTTACCACAACGTGAGTGACAGAGTATTCATGCTAAAAAATCGCAGTTAATGTATCCTTAGTCATGTATTTGTAAGGTAAACTACTGATTGCAGACAAAAAATATTTGTTCGAAAATGTAGCGTGCGCATGTTGCTCCCTTTCCCATTTAATTTGAATCAAAACATATGAGTTATTTTCGTCAAATTACCGTAAACCTTGAATACTATCGCGACATCTATTCATGACTTAATATATCATGTTTATACATTACAAATACACGTGTACAGAATGACGAACACGAGGTCCTGCGAAACCGACTTTACTAAAAAAAACTAGGCTCGACTTTTGTTCAAAATGAAAACTGAAAATTTGACGAAAGTATTTCGCTCGGCAGGCTTTAATATAAAATCACCAAGGCAAATGAAAATGAGGACACACAAAACACCTGGATATGGGGCAGTGATGCTGAGAACAAAGTCAGTACCTACTCCTGTATATATTGAAAATACTATTATTGGAAATACTATTGAAAATGCGGCACGGAGCCTAATTCGTCCCAAACTTACATTTCTCAGTAAACTGAGAGAGCTAGCAAAACAAAGTCGTACGTGATCTTGCTCAAGACTGTTGATTAAATAAAGGATGATATCAAGCACCAGCTTGCATGGTATACATGGCAAAGCGAATAACATCACATCAAAGCTTTGAAATTATCAATCGACCTCTCGTTGAATATGGATCTATCTATATCTCGTTATGGTTCGGGATGATATGATACCATGCGTTTATCTGACAGTCTGGTATAATTCCCACAGGCGGATATGTTGTCCAAATACTAGACTATGTGGGCACACATACCCGTACATACTAGTCCTTCGTGTGCGTTTAGTATCTTATGAGTCCCAGTTGTAACTCGCAAAAACATTATGTCAAAGAGAAAGCGCTCACGCCTTTAGAGATAGAATTTTAGGCAACTTTGAATATGATTACATTTTACATAGGTCATCAGGCATATGGTACGCTTATTATTGCTATTTCTACGCAGCATATTAACGCCCTGTTAATACAACAAGATAATAATTATTTACAGAAATATAATATACCAGCTGTTTGATAGTATTGGTACACAAACAAACAAACAAATCGTGATCCTTGGAGTAACAGCATGGGATATACTGGGATTAGATGCAGATAATAAAGGTGTATATAAGCTTCGTAACAAGACAGTGTAGGCACTTGAGTTAGAGCATCAAAACCAACCATGAAGCTTCTTGTTCTGCTAGCCGTCGTCTGCGCAGCCAGCGCCACTACCCCGAGGTGGCCACGACTTCCCGAAGGTATGTCTTCCGAAGGTTTTAGGATCTAACAAAACTCATGAGCTTAAATTGGCAAACTCATTTGTGTCATATTTTGTTTTCTAGATGGTTGTTTTTATTCTATATTATTTATTCTGTGAGCGTGTGCGATAATTAGCCATATTGTAAATTAACGGCGCAAACATTGTTGGCCGATTTAGAGAAAAATAAGTAATAATATGATAGTAGAAAACGAACGTTTCAAAGATTCCGAAAGCAATGTGACTCTTTGTTTTAGGATGGGCTCCCCCGGACACGAAGATTGTTGGCGGCGAGAATGCGGACATTAAGGATTACCCATACCAGGTACTAGAGCCAAGTTCTTCTTGCTATGCCGCACAAAAAAACTATATAACACATACTTCATTTCCAGTAGAGAGAGAGAGAGAGAGCGAGAGAGAGAGAGAGAGAGAGAGAGAGAAGAGAGAGAGAGAAGAGAGAGAGAGAGAGAGAGAAGAGAGAGAGAGAGATAGAGAGAGAGAATTTATAACATCGGGACCTAGGTAAATATCGTGTAATGGGCCAACGACAGTCCTGCTATGTGTATCGTGTCATGCCAATTTTATTG